CTTAAAGGCCTCCCAATAGGCCCTACCTCTTAAAGGTTCCACCTCCCAGGAGCACCTGCCAAAGACCAACCCTTGACCACATGGGCTTTGGGGAACCCTGAACATCCAAACTACAGCAGTGGACACCTTATGTCTCCCTGCTTCTTTTCTGAATCTAAAAGCCAACCATTGAAACTCATCTTCATGTCTATCTCTCTTTTTGTACAAATAGGAAACACATAAATTATCAAATTGCTATACTCATTTTCTTCACATGGACACGTGAGCTGAGGTATATTTCCATGGTAATCTCTTGTGTTTTCGTTTGTTTGTTTGTTTGTTTTGGTTTTGGTTTTTTTCCAGTACTAAGAATTGAACTCACAACCTTGTGCTTGCCAGGCAGGCGCTGTGCCGCTGAGCTAAATCATCAGCCCTTGGTAATCTCTTGTTAATGAGGGTGCCCCAGAATACCAAGTAGCATCATGGATTTCTCAAAGAAAAAAACAAGGAAAAGAATTCACAGTGCCTAAGTGTGCATTAGGGCAAAACCATTCTTATAACAGACAGAAATCAAGAATTATAACTAGTATTTCTTGTCGGTCAATCTCTCCTTTTAAAAAGTACTACCCCACGTGCCACAAGACCCAGCCACCATGCCAGTGCACATTTAATTTGATTTTGAGAAAAGAGTAATTATCTCCCTGGTGTTAGGGGCTTGTACTGTATGTGTGAACACCCTTTCCAGAGAGGCTGATCCTCAGAAGGTAGCAGAACGTTAGAGTAAGAGGCCTGGCCTTGACTCTAGTTATTGCATGTAAAAGTTCTAAAATCTTGAAAGTTCAAAGTGTGGCTTCCTCATCCACGATAGGCACAGTAACTCCCATCTTGCTAGGGTGGATGGAGCATTAATGAAAAAAGTTGGTTTCCAGAATCTGGTGTATAGTAAGTGCACAGTAACTGCTTATAGAGAGGCCCCAAGTATGGTGGTGTGTACTGATCAGCTTTTGCTTTGCTGAACGTAATACCAAATGCTCAAAATTTAAAGAAGAAGAGGTTTATTTGGCTCACAGTTCAGGGAACTTGGTCCATGGCTGACAGGCTCCAAATCAGGAACATCATGGGGATATGATGTGGTAGAACAGAGATGCTCAGTTTCTGGTGGCTGGGAGCAGAGCAGGGAAATAGTGCTGGAGAGGAAGAAGCTATGGAATATCCAATACCCAAAGTCGTGCCTCTATGACCCACCCAGACACACCTAGGGACACGCTTTGCAGTCTACTACAACTAATGAAGTTGAAAAATCAGGATTAACACTTGCACGGTGGTGGCTCTGAAGGGGGAGGATGGTGGCCAGGACTCGGTGGAGTGGCTGGGAAGCTGGAGGGTCTGCCTCCCGTTGTAGATCCTCCTGCCCATCCACATGCTGGCTGCCAGGCGCAGCTGAGCCTTGGATGTAGGCTGCTTTTGCCCTCCTCTCCTCCATCCCACTTCACACTGCCACTGTCATTCCAATCCTCCCAACCCGTGTTGCTCCTCTGTGAGCTGAAGGACCAGAGTGACGGGCTTTGTAGGCCTGTGGTAGATGCAGCCTGGGTCTACTTCAGAATCGCTTCTCTCCTTGATTCATGCAGTTTCTTTTTGTTTGGTTGTATTTTTTTAATGCAAAGGGGCATAAGGACATGTTTGGTGCTTGGTCCTTCCTTATTATACCCCTCCGCTGTCTTGCATTTCTCTCCCCCTCCCATTGTCTTTCCTCTTCCCCTTCTCTCTCCTGTTTACAGGATGGATACTGCCTTGACACGGGTGGTTTCAGCAGCCCCCTTCTCGGGGTCCCCCTTCCGTCACATCTGCCTTGTTCCTCACCTTCAGCTATTGGTTCCCGTGTGACAGGTGAGAGGGTACAGGCAGGGAGAGGGGAGGAAACCTGGCACAGGCTGAATGCCAAAGCAAGGTCAGGGCCAAGGCAGGCTTTCTCCTGTAGAAGGGAAGGGCCTCTGGTAAATTAGGAGGCCAGTGAAGAAGGGCTCATTTCTGGGCCCTTGCTAAGCCTACCCAACTGTGTCTGCAACAACCCTACACTTCCAGGGCAGCATTTCCCCAATTTACCTGGCCATCAGAGGCACCTGAGCCTCCTGTACAACGGTCACACTCCTGAGTCCTTACTGAATGAGAACCCCCAGGTGCTCCAGGTGATTCTTACAACCAGGCAAAGGCAGCCAGTGAGGGGATGTGGTGTGTATGAAGGGGATTCAGCAGCACCAGCATCATCTGGTGACTTGGTGGAAATGCAGAACCTCAGGTCCCACCTCAACATGCATTTTAACACAGTGATTTGTACGCACAGAGGTGTCTCTAGATTTATAGTTCTTGAAGGTGACATTGGGTAGGGGAGAAATTCAGACTTTGTAACCTTGGTCGTGTCATATCACCAATCAGGACTGTTGCCTTTCTCCTCTGTGAACTGGTAGTAATACTATCTGTTGTTGGTTGTGAGGACCAGCTCTGAGGTGGGTTTCAAGATATCCTATAAATTTAGGAATGATGACTAGTACGGTCCTGCCTTTGCCTTGGCTGTTGGCATTTCACCTTGGCCTTCCAAGACTTTCTATCCTGTCTGACTTCTTATAGGCACAGGCCTTCCCACTCTGCCATAGTACCCAGGCTGACCACCTGAAGGAGGGGCTCCTGGGCTCCTGCAGATAAACTCCTGAGGAGATGGTCAGCACCAGTGGGTCTTCACTAAGCCATGCCAACAACGCTTTTCACAACCCTTTCCTCTAAGCATGGTAGCTGGATGCAGTCACCACTCAGCAGACAGTTGCTGCAGGAAAATAAGAACAATCACAGAAGGCCAGACCCACTGCAGAGCCAGTGGCTAGAACATCGCAAGGGTGGGGGAAGGTGCTGGAAGCAGATGACCCTGGATGGAGTGTAAGGTGGGGTGCCAATTTCCCTGGAGCCTGTAACACTTCTTGGCTCCAGACATGTCTTCACTTTTAAGTTTTGTCCTGCCTAGCTGCCCAGATAGGTCTCTGGAGTCCCTGGGTCCACGCTGGTCACTGTATTCATGACAGCTGTGTGTTCTGGATTTTTCATTTGAAACTATTTTCTTCATTAACATAAGTGACTGCCTGTGTGTTAGGCCATGTACAAGCACAGAGAATAGGATCACTTTATTTACATGACTTTGGTTGAGCTTATTTTGTAGGAGGCAGAGGTAGAGCATATTTAATGAGTTTGTCATTTTCCCATGTAGATTTCCTTTTTCGTCTCCCTCATTGCAATATGTTCAATCTACAATGATTATGCATGCATTTTTAGTCAGGGGCTCTGAATTGTACAGATTTAAATCCCTTGCAATGACAGCCCAGAATTCCTTCTAGTGGAGGGCACCCCATAGCTTTTTGGGGGCACAGTTCTGCTTTCTCCCACATGGGTGCTTTAAGAGGCCACTCCTGGAAAAGGCAGGTGTTGTCTCCCTGTCTTCTGAGGCAAGGGGGATGTTTCTCGGGGAATGTTATTTTGAATAATTCCACAAAGATCTGTGAAGTGCTCCCAAAGGTTGTGAATCTAAAACCCAAACTCTCAAAGTATGTGAGAAGTAAATTACGGCAAGGACCTCTATCATCAGTCCCCCCGATCTGCGCGTGGATCCTGAGATCCCAGGAGGCCCTCACCTGGCCCACTTGGATTGTTCTAAACCGTGGAAGTGACATCCCAGGCCCACACTGCAGGTTTTCCTTCGGCCATAGTTTGGGCAGCCTTTGTCACGGGTGCAATTTGAGAAGCGACGTGTTGGGACTGGCACGCGACTGGCTGAGGACCGGGCCCTCTGCTGCTGCACATGTGTCCTTGTTCCTTTTCCAGAAGCACAAGTTGGATTCTGTTTTCAGGGGATGGCAAGCTCTTCCCAGGAGATCTGCTTGCTGTTCCTGGTTATTTTTCTTCCTTCCTTTTTCCTCTGCTCTTTTTCTAAGCTCTTGCTTCTTCGTTCTCCTCTTTCTTTCCTCTCCTGTCTTTACCAGCTCCTCCTTACCGGCCTTTCTTGAGAGCCCTGCCCACTGCTCTCTCTTCCAAGGGTCCAAGTGCAGATGACAGGCCCTCCCTGCAGGCAGAGGATGCAGCTCCCTGCGTCCCCCTGCACCCCACAGCTGTTTCCCTGCCTGGCTCTGCCCACCACCAACGGGGCACACAGGGCACCTCCTGCACTGTCCCATCCAGAGGATGAGCAGCTGCCGTGCTAATTGCCACCAGCAGGGAGGCCAGGCAGCTCTCCTACTCCTCCTGTGATTAGGAGGCGGCCCAGGGGGGCGGTTTGCAGGAGCCAAATGAGCTAAGCCAGTGCTGTGCATTGTTCTAGGAATTTTAAATACTCGTTAAAGGCTTTGCAGCGTCTCACTTCAGCACACATCATGCTCCAGTTACTGCTTGGAACTGCGGGGGCATCAGCCCGGGCAGCACTTATCAATATTTTAGCAGGAGAAAGGCAAATGATGTTGAAACATTGAACTATATTTCCATCTGTTCAAATGGAAATGGAACAAGCACAGCTCAGGAAATGGAATACCTCCTCCCAAGCTGCCTCCAAAGCAGAGATACCCCCTGGTCCCCTTGCTCCTGCATCAGTTTCTCTGCCATCTCTTTTTTCATTTGGACCTCCATGCTCAGGGCCCAAGGAGCTTGATGTCCAGGAGGTGTGGGGTTTGTCAGTAGAGTAGGGGCTGGTGGCATCTCAAAGAATCTGAATGTGAGCTTCCTTTATTGTAAAGCTCTGAAGGTGACCTTTCCCCAGTATAAAATACGCCTTCCCAATGGACTGACAGAAAAGTGGCGTCAAATGTATTCAGTCCCCTCTTGTGCTGGAGGATACAGTCTCCATCCCCTGCACTGGCCTGCAGATTATCTCTCCTGTAAAAAGACCAGGATTGCTGCACAAATATATCATGAACACAGAACACATTTATGTTGTACTCCCATTTCCCTGGAATAAAATAAAGTTTATTATCAGGGAAGAAACTTGAGGAGTATTGGTGTTCACTTGTCTCAGAAGGTCTGAGACATTTCCGACCAGTCATCTCGGATGACTTGGAGCCCATGGAGTGTCTCCACCAGCAGGTCCCCCCAAATTCCTGAGAGTGACAGGACTCAGGGGTATTTACCTCTTTAGCCCCCTACCTGAAACAGAATGGGGAGCCGAATCTTCTCATTTAGCCATATACTTTTTGTAACTTTTCCCTTGGAAGTTATTCGATTTAATTTGGTTAATCTAAAGAGACAAAAGGATGAAGCTGGAGGAGAACACCATTATGGTTTAGAACTAAAATATCCCCCAAAGGGGCTGGGGATTTAGCTCAGTGGCACAGTGCCTGCCTGGCAAGCTCAAGGTCATGAGTTTGATTCCTGGTACCGGAAAACAAAACAAAACAAAACAAAAACCAAAAAAAAAAAAAAAAAAAAAAAAAATCCCCCAAAGTTGTCACGTGTACTGAGGTGAGGTTTTCAGAAAACGATTGGGTCAGGAGTGCTCTGGTTCCATCAGCAAAGGAGTCCCCTGCTGAGGTCCTAATTTGAAGGCATTATTGGGAGGTGATGGGAACTTAGGCAGTGGGGCCTCGTTGAAGGCAATGGGTCATACATGGATCACTGGGAACTATGTCTTGTCCCTGAACCCTTCATCCCTGGCTCTTTCACTCTCCCTGCTTCCTGGGACCCATGAAGTGAGTAGCTGTGCTTTGCCACCCTTCTACCATGATGCTTCTGCTTCAACACTGGCTTAAACTGTGGACTGAAACCTCTGAAACCATAAGTCAAAGTAAACCTTTCCTCCTTTGAGTTGTGTTTCTCAAGTATTTGCTCACGGAGATGAAAAGCTGACTAACATAGACCTGAACAGCTGAATCCAGAGCCCACAGTCCCCAGAACTCACTCTGCTGGTCACAGTGGTGTGGGTCACTCTCTGGTCTTAGGGTTTCGGCTGTAGAACTTGGTTGTTTCTGGCACCAACTGAAGAGTAACTTAGACATTCCTCGTGCTTGCCTCCATGCTGGCTGTTAAGCTGCTGACAGATATTCTGCCTTCTGGGGAAGTGGTTTCCATTGTGGGAGCCAGAACAGCATCAGAGAGGAGAAGCCCATGTCTGGTGAAGGAGATCATGGGCTACAAAATCCAGAGAATTCATTAACTTCATCTATCCCGCTCCTTGGTTCCCTAGTGGGACGATGTATATGGGGGTGTTCCTAAGCCAGGGCTGTCTGTGGCCCTGTCTGAGCTGGCTTCGCAAATGTAACCTACAAAGTACCCCCTCCACCCACTTAGTAACCTCACCTTTTGTGGCCCACGGATGAGGCTATCCGTGCTGCGAGCCACTTGGCACAGCAGGGTCTTCCAGTCTTTGGCCTTTGAAATCAGGACAAAGGATAGAGGAGAAGAATTATATTAAATGTTTGAACAAAACTCACAAATGCTAAAGTACATCGCAAATAGTCATCTCAGAAAAGAAAGCTCACATCCAGTGAGTAAAAGAAGGAGGTCAAAGACATTGCCAACACTCCCGGAGGAGAAAGTTCTCTGCCAGTATATGTGCCTTGGTAAGGCCAGAGGAGAGGCTGTCAGGTGCCAGCTTTGCAGAACATGGGGGCTCTCTGCAAAAATCTAGACTCATTATGCCAGCAGAAAAATGTAACTTGCTTGTTTTCCTCCAGGAGAAGTGCATTTTATCCTCACTGTGTCTGGGAAACTTGGGATGCATGTCAAACAACAGGGTCCAGTTTCACCTCTCCCTTCCTGGACCACAGAAGGTGGGGCTACTAAGGAGGTGGAGGGAGTACATTGTAGGTAACATTTATGAAGCAAGCTCAGACAGGGCCACAGACAGCCCTGGCTTGGAATATGCCATACACATCTTCCCACTAAGGAACCAAGCGGGATACCGAGAAGAGTGGATGAAATATAGAAGATGCAGGAGACCAGCACGCTGGTTGTGTCCAGTATATATGAACCTGAATTAGAAGAGGACATGAACTCAGATGAAAACCAAGACCCTACTTCATAAACAGAACTGGCTGGGTATGGTGGCACAGGACTGTAACCCCAGCTACTTCTGAAGGTCAGGCAGGACGATTGCAAGTTCAAGGCCAGATTGGGCAATTTAGTGAGACATTGCCTCAAAATAAAAATAAAGATGGGACCGGGGATTTAGCTCAGTGGCATGGCTTCTTGGCAAACATGAGATCCTGAGTTCGATTCCTGGGTGAAATAAAAAAGGCAAGCAGAATTAAAAGCAAAACAAACTCTCCCCAGAATTTACAGATGTTAGATACGGCAGAAAGGCAAAGCCAGGGGCAGACCACTGTTACACCAGTACTTACGGCGCTCCCAGTGCTGTCCAAGGTACTTCACATGAATTATTTCTTGCAGAGCCTATGAAATACTATTAAACCTAGCTGGTGCACAGCACTGAGGCTCATAGCCCAGAGGCAAAGCAGTTGCTTAGCATTTGTAAGGCCCTGGGTTCAATCCCCAGCAACACACACACACACACACACACACACACACACACAGTTACCACCACCACCACAAGCAACAATAAAAATCTAGGAGTCAGACAAATTAAATGACATGCCAAATGACACATCCAAAGCCACTGAGGTAGGAAGTGATACACTCATACTCAGAACTTAAATTTGTATACCTCCAAGGCTCTTGTTCCTTTTATGTTCCTGTATCAAGCAGGTAGGCAGCAAGAGAGGACTTTCTGGATGGCAGAGGGAGGGAACGTATTATGGCTTGTATCTTGATGTACCCTGAAAGCCTTATGCATTCATAGGTGGGGCTTTTTGCAGCTTGCTGGATCGAGGGTGTAGTTAATGAAAGCCCCATTCTGAATATGGGTGGTACCCATCAATAGGCTTCTAGACTGGATGGAATATAAAGGGAAAGAAAGGAGGCAGGCTTGCTGCTGCTACTCGCTGCTTTGCTGCTTCCTTCCTGCCTTGCTGTGCGCTGTTTGTCTTGTGCCATGTCCCTGTGCTGTGCCATCCTACCTTGGAGCCAGCTGACTATGGACTGAACCTCTACAAACCGTGAGCTGAATAAACCTTTCCTCCTTTAATTTGTGGGTGATGGGTATTTTGTCTCAGCAACAAGAAAGATAACTAAGACAGGACATCATGATGTAGGAGTATCCAGTCTTCAAGGTTACTGTGAAGCAGCTGGTCTGTGGCCAGGTGAGTCTGGAGTTTCAGAAAAAACAGCATTTTATAACAAGGGCCAGCAAACAGTGGATCCCCCCAGAGGGCAAAAACAGATGCAGATTGAGTGCGGGTTAGACAGAAATTAAAGGTGCAAGCTCAGAACCCAAAGCAAAAGACTAGGTAGGGGTCTGGTGGGCCACAAGCATTCCTCCAGCTCAATGAATGCCCACAGCAGGGACAAGGGATGAGAACAGGGGCAAGAGTAGGGGAAGCAATTTCCTTACTTTTTTTTTTTGTTGTTGTTTTTCTCCAGTACCAGGAACCAAACTCACGACCTTGCGCTTGCCAGGCAGGCGCTTTGCCGCTGAGCTAAATCCCCAGCCCCGCAATTTCCTTACTAATGAGGCAGACTAATAGTGTTAAGATGCCAACTTACTCAGAGTCAGGGGACTGAGTAAATACAAATACTCTATAAGCTGTGACTCTGCAGAGCCTTATACCAGCTATAGCAGAACATCTTTGCATGAGTGTATGCGTGTATGTGTGGGCGGGTGTTCTTCCCTCTGTGCAGAAATCTCATGGCTGCAGGGATCCCAGGTAGGGAGGTAATGAGAGAGAGGAGGATCCATCTAACAATCCTGTCTACAGAAATGACAAAGAAAATAGGGCCTAGATGTGGAGACATGGTGGATGGGATTATTTTGATTTCTCAATGTAAAGGGTCAGGCAGTTTCCTTAGAAAGCATAATTCACAGTGTGGGGAGACACTAGAGCTTCTTGTGTGAGCCTGGCTTCCGAGAACCCAAGGAAAGTTGCCCAGCTGCAAGGACCCTGCAAGGACCCATGAGGCCCAGAGTGCGAGTTGTTCAGAGATCAGAAGGTCCTGCAGGGTTGAAGCCAGGGCCAGAATGAAGGTTATATGTCTGTCCTCTTAGCAGCGGGGCTGGTTCCCTCTCCCACTCTGCCACTAACGCCATCAGGAGCAACACAGGGGCAGAGTATGATGGAGGCCAGGGCATGGCAAGAGCTCAGCAAATGACAGATATGTAAATTATTATAGGAAGAGTATCATGTGAGCTCTGGGGGACAGGAGGAAGGCAGAAGGGAGGTAGAGAAACGAGCTCTTGGAAATAAGACCCTCCTTCCTAAGAACCTATCATCAGAATTTAATGGAGAAGAATCCTTGCCTAACCACCACCCGATGAAGAAGCTCTGCTTCCCTCATCAGCTCTGAGGAAAGGGCCTCAGCTCTAGGGACAGGTGACCCTCCTGCTCCTGGGCCCCACCCCACTCCTACCCCTAGAATGGGGTCCCCAGGGACTCCGTGGGTCCAGGAGTTGACCCCACACTGACCTGGGGACCAGGTTCTCTGGCAAGCTCATCACAGACACGCAGATGCTTATCCTCTGCTGCGACAGCTCTTGGAGCTCCTTGTTTGTTTCTGCCTGCCGCCAGGAGAAAATGGCCCCTGCTGGGTGCTGTAAACACTCATCAGCTCGGGCAGTGACCCAGTCACAGAGGCCCGGTCTGTTGCAGAATTGGGAGGCAGCTGAAAGAAGACCAGACAAGGCCCCCGCTGAGCCTGGGAAGGCCGATTCCCCACCGAGGCCATCACTGGAGCTTGGTGGGCGTGTGGTGCTGGGCCCAGGGGCGGTGACTCATGCGGCCGTTTCAGGGGCCCAGATCATTGGCTACCTCATCAGACGGTGTGCTGGCGGGCCCAGGTGACTGTGCACTGTCTCTGTCCCCGTGGCATGTCTTCCGAAGTGGGCATGTGCTCAATAACTGTTCCATGCAAGGTGCTCGAGAGCCAGGTACGCATGATCCCCTCACTGCCACCTGGTCCTTGACCCTGCAAGGCAAAAACTCCAGCAGGCACAGTGATTTCCCTACCCAGCTGTTCCCGTGTCTATCTAGAATTCTAGGTTTTCAGCAGAGACGTCCTCAGAGGCAAGGGACTGTGACAGATAGGAGACTTTTTTTTTTAAACTGGGAATTGAACCTAGGGCCTTCACTCTAACTTATATTCCCAGCCCACTTTTTATTTTTTATTTTGAGGTAAAGTCTTGTTAAATTGCCAAATTGCCCACAGTAGGCTCTGACTTGAGATTCTCCTGCCTCAGCCTCTCAAAGTACTAGGATTATAGGCATGCATCATCATGCCCAGCTGAGAATCTGTATTTTTCAATGTGCCTTGAAAGTGATACTGATGCCAAGGGGGCTCTTGGGGCTCTCTAGTATACACAGACCTTCTTGCTCAGGGCTTGATCTGTGGACCAAAGGGATCCCCAGGTGGGACAGGCAAAAGGGGTTAAAAAGGAGCCAGAAGATTTCTATGCCCAAAGATATGTCCTCTCTTACCCTACCCATCCTGCCTCAAACCCCACTATGGAGTATTCTTCAAGCCTTTTGACTACATGTTGTCCTCCCCAGACCTTTTAGAAATGCCACTTCTCTGGAGAGCCCATCTCTCTGCTCTAAGGGTAGAGGCTCCTGAGGACTGACGCCTGTACCTACCATACTGCAGGGCCCAGAATCTTCGCCCTCCAGCCCAAGACCACCTGATCTTAGGTTGCCCAGGAATATTTCAAATGGGTGAGGGGGACAGGTCCCGTTTCTCTCTGTGCCCGTCCTCCTGCCAGTCCCCTACCCACCCTACTTTGGGCAAAGGCACAGGGACCCAGATTGTCTGCCCCTGCCCAGCACCGTAGCCAGGAAACATCAGGGAGCTGCTCGGCAGCCCTGCCTCTGCACCAGGGACCAGGGTGAAAGGAAACTCCAGAACAGCAGTCTGGGACTCCAGGGCGGGACGATCTAGGGCCCTGGGCCAGACAAGTTCCTGCAAGCATCAGCAGCTTCTTCTGAAAAGGGCACAGCAGCTTCTATAGACAGTTCCTCCTCCTCAGGGGATTTCTGCCCAAGGTTCTAAGCAAGTAGCCCAGTATACAGGGAACTCCAGATGTGCCAGGACAGCTGATCTTGGAGCACCTGTGGGATGGGAAACTCGCCACCTCCTGATCTCTCAGTCCGGCTCTAGCAGGACTCTTCCTGGTACTGACTTAGGCGCAGTCTCTCTGCTGTTGGGCCACAGAGCAAAGCCTGCTGCAAGGAGCTTTGGGGGCATCAAATTTTCTAGGTAGTGACAGAATGCTTGCTCTGAGCTCCTCCTCCACTAGGATTCCGGAGCTGCCACCATCCACAAGGTTCT